ACAAAGGCGCGCGCATACACCAGAAGGGAACACCCAAGTAAGAAAGAGACACATGCCCCTTAACCAGTGCGCCATCGGGAAGGACAGACGCCAAGGCTAAGCACTGGGCGCCACCCTGCCCTGCGGCCAAATGGGGCAAATCCGCCGAAAATGAGAGCTAGAATGCCTAGGGGCACCTGCCGCCCGCCGAGGGGGGTTTGCAGTAATGCTGCATAATTCCTGATTCAAATGCCAGACACCCTCCGATCACCTTGTGCCCCTGAAGTCGTGGTGGCCCTCCATTGCAGAGGCAGGGATCTCGATGCTAATCGGCAACCGGCGGGACTACACAGCTCCAAAGCACACGGTTGCGCCGGTGTGGGTGACTTTGTGTGTGAGTATCGCAGCCTCCTCGCATGTTCGTTCGCTCCTCACCCGCCCCTGTATGAAACTTCCTGCCTGCCGACACGAAAGCGCGTCGCTGTCGGCTGCTACACGAGCGAACCCCCGTTCTCAGCACCCACGTCTGCGCCGGCAGCGACGCCATTCGTTGCAGTTCGGGCCGCGCATTATGGCGGCCCGCCTGCCTTTGTATCTCCCTCCGCCCCTGCCCGAGCCGCGCCCTTGTTTGCAGAAAGCACTGCCCGTGCCGCAGCCCAAGGTCACCGTGCCCAGATCACTGCGGCGCAACCTCGGAGCCCAGCTTCCAGCCGTCGGGCTCCTCGCTGGTGTGCTTGCGGAGCGCCTGCTTGATAAGGAAGGCCTCGGGGCCAGCCGCCGCTGCGACCTCCTCGCCGTCGCTGATGGCGACGGCCACCGACACGCCCGAGGTCGCAAGGCCCTCCTGCAGCGCCTCCTGGAGCTGCGGGGCCGGCGAGGGGAGGGCGGGGCACCAGGCCGAGGGAAGTAATGACGCATGCGCAGGCGGAACGACGAGGGCCGGCCGGATGCAAGGGAATGCAGCACTGCAGAGTATGACCTTTTGCGCACACATCAGCGGGTGCACCCAACCCCTTGCCAGAAGACCCCCGTCACTCACAAGCTCCTTCTTGGACGGTCCCTGCTTGAGGCTGACCACCTTTGGCGACGCCCGGACCTCCAGCTGCTCCCCGGCACCCCTGCTGGTGCTTGCCACCCCGCCGGCCAGCAGCTGCTGCAGCGCCGGGCCGGCCGCATAGTCCGCGCAGCTGCGTCCCAGCCCGTCGCGGGCCGAGGGGTCGGCGCCCGATGCGATGATGGCGCGGGCTACGTCGACCTGCGCCTCCGCGCCGATCATCAGCGACTTGCAAAGCATGTGCAGCGGGGTGCAGCCGTCCTGTGTAGGGTCGGATGGTTGGCATGGTGCGATAATCAGGCGGTGTCGCGGTTTGGTATGCCTTGCATGCCTGCCACGGCTTAATCAAAGCGCAGCAGCGGGACGCCCACCCATTGCAGCAGCCTCGAGAATTGCTGGCTCGAGCGTACCTGGTCTGCCGCCGACACGTCCGCCTTGCGCTCCATCAGCGCGCGCACCACGCCCTCGTGACCAAACAGCGCGGCGAGGTGCAGCGGCGTGCGGCCCTGCACGTTGGCGGCGCTCGCGAGCTGCTCGCCGTGGAGCGTGGCCAGCAGCAGCCGCGCGACGGGCGCGTTGCCAGAGGTGGCCGCAGTGTGCAGGGCCGTGCTTCCCGCCTGCGCGCGTCGCAGGTTCCCCAGGAAGTTTGGTGGCAATTCGCATGTGATAATGACTATGCATGATCGTGCAATACGCGTCGCAGTACGCATAGTGTTGCTTGGGACTCACAACCCATGCATGCTGCAAGCAAGCCTCCTGCATGTGCCGTGTGCGCGTGAGCCGCGCAGCCGCTGCCTCCGCGCCCCCGCACCTTGTCGGCTGCGCAGGGATCCGCGCCACGCTCCATCAGGAACGCCGCCGCCTCCGCGCCGCCCTCCTGCAGCGCCGACACAAGCATCAGCGGCGTCTTGCCGTCCGCGTTGGGCGCAAGCAGCGCCTCGGGGCCGCCGGGCAGCTGCTCCAGGATCCGCAGGACGGCAGCATGGCCCGAGCGCGCCGCGCGGTGCGCGGGCAGGTCGCCGTCCTGTGGTGGACGCATGGCGGTGCATGGCAACGTAGGGCAACGCATGCATATCCTTGTGGCTTGCATGGGCGAGGGCTGCTTCCTGCATGCGTTTTGCGCCGAAAGGCAGGCGTCTGAGCGCCCTTGCGGCGTACCAACAACTGCGCTGCCGGCCAGGCGCCAACGCTGCCGCCAGTCCCCGTGATGGGTCCTCACCACGCCCAGCTGCGCGTCGGCCTTGTTCTCAAGCAGGAACCGCACGATCTCCTCGTGGCCAAACGCGGCCGCATCCATCAGCGCGGTGCCGTCGGGCGAGATCTGCGAGTTACAGTGCAGGGAGTGCGCTCCGTGGCTGTGCCTCGCTGCCTCCCCTCCACGGCACGGCACCGATGGCACCGGCCGCTGCTGCCCCTCACCCATTGCAAGCGGCCCGTGAACCTGCCGCATGCAAGCTCACCCTGTTGACATCTGCGCCCTTGGCAACAAGCACCCGTGCCGCCTCCATGTGGCCGTTGCGACTTGCCATCTGCAGCGCGCTCTGGAGTGGCATGCAGTGGCGACACCAGCCGCGGAAAGGCTCAGCGATCTGCTCGCAGGGACCGGTGTCTGATTAGCTCATAGCTCGTAAGCACGCATGCCAGCGGCAAGTCGCGCATGCGGTTGGCGTGCTTAGCAACGCGGGGCCTTGTCCTCAACATGCACCGCCCCCCACCGTGTGTTCCTTTTTCTTGGGATCCGCAGGCGTGCGGCCGCTGAGGATCCGGGCGATCCATGCAACGTTGCCCTCTGCCGCGGCCTTGCGCAGGTCGTCAGCCTGCATGCGCGGTAGCATATTGCGGGCAGGCAGCGCAAACCTTGTCCTCCAAGGTGCGTGCTCTGCTGCGCGCACTTGATTCCCGCCATCCACAGCGCTGCCGCCGGACAGCTAGGCGCGTCATAAGGGAAGTTCACAGGTGTCTGTGTACATTTGAGTTACCATACAGGCAGGATTGCGGAGCCACGCATGCCTCGTGGCGGGTCAAGGCAAAAGCCCCTCCTGTACGGGTGTCTCTGCGCACCTGGTTGTGTTTAAGCGCAGGGAACAAGCTGAAATTTGTCATGGTGCTAAGCACCTGCATCTTACTGGCCTCTCAACGGGGGCCGAACTGGTCCTGGCTGTTTCTAAGCTCAAGGCACGTCAAAACCACTAGAGGTGTAGTCAAATAAAATAATTTAGACTATACACGGGTGTGTGATGAGCATGTGGCCCGACGTGCGATCGACACTTGAAAACTCACGCGGCTGGCCACCTGAGGCTAAAATGAAGCAACAAATAACCTCAGATGGCTCATTCATGATCGATGTAATACGATGTTGCCCTGCCATGGCCACCTTATGTGGCCAGCAGTAGCACCCACCCAGCTTGCTGCCGCTGCTCATGTGGGCACTTCTAGGCCCCTCCTCACGGACGAGCCCTACTTTGTGCCAGCAGCACGAGCAGCCAGGCAACATTTTTGCTCTCACAGCAAGGGTTCTACCCGCCAACATTTCAGGCCTGTCAGATTTTCCTTCTTGCTGTGCAGGACTACTTTTCTCTACCCCCTACTGGGCTCCTCGAGACCCAAATAATTACACGTGGCACGATAAATACATAAGTTGTGTGGAATAGATGGACATAAATATACAACGATATATGCAACCGAGATCAAATACATACAACGCACAGCGTGAATGGGCAACGGCTACAAGGATTAGCAAGCAAAAAAGAGGACTTTGCAGGTATCGAACAATAACCTCACAAGCACGAGGATTGTGTGAACTGCAGGTGGACAGCTACAAAGCAGCGTGACGCAGCAAAGGGCGGCTTGCCGACGCAGAGCAAGCGTCGGCACAAGTGCGTTCAAGAGTGTGCGCCGCCAGTGCATCGGCGGGTTGCTGCCGCGGCGACGCACACGTGCAAGGCTGGAAGTGGCGCTGCATTCGGGCATGTGCATTCAGCTCAAATAGTGGGGGTGGCGCAGGCCCGCAGAGCATACCAAACTTTTTGCGCTTGAGGCAATGTCCTCTAGAGCTGTGTTATCGCCGCCACTCATCATGGCTGGGCGCCGCGCGCCACTAATAGCTAGCGGCTGCTGTGGCGCCACGCTGAGCAGCGCGGTTATGTCGAGTCCCCTCAAAAAAGTTGCGCCAGCACACGTGTTGGCCGCGTCTGTGTTGCGCCTTGCCGAGTCCAGCCGCCTTGAACGCTGTGAAGGCCATGGCCAGGCAGTGGATGCTGTGGAAGCCATGGCCAGGCAGTGGACAGCATGACCTGCGGTCATCCGGGCAGGGAACTTGACGACAGCGCAGCCGAGGTGGCACACGACTGCTGACGAGCTGACGAGCACACTACCCTTCCTGAAAAGCGGGCATGCAAAGTGATGTTTTGATGCATGCACTCACTTGCTTTGTCGGCATTCCGATCCGCCTGAGACCACGGCACCCGCTCCCGGTCCGCGCCTGCCGATGCACGGCTTTCTATACCGCTCCATAAATTAAGAATGTATCAACCTTGATGTTAGGTCATTGTCGCGGCCAGAGCTGCCCCAGGTGTCGCTACATGGCCACGTCACCTCTGCCGTGTCGTCCACGTCACCTCTGCTGTGTCGTCTATATATCACTGACGAGTTCGTTTCAGCTTGAAAGCGTGTAACATAGAAATAATCTGCCTCGGAAGCACCCACCCGCGCAAGCGTGCAGATAGCGCGCGGAAATTGCGTAATATGACTCGGGCGCAAAAGCACGCGACGGAGCGGCATCAACGGTACATGATATTATTGACAGGCTATCAACGTCAGATGTCCTCTTGCATCGCCCAAACCTCACAGCGGCCAGCCTATCCGCGGCACCCTGCTGTGCGCCTGCGCGGCGGCGGACCGCCGCCACACCCCGTGCTGCCCAAGCGCGAATACGCAAGCTCATGATTTGATCGACGGCCCACAATTCCCAGCATAAATCAAGGCACCTTTTGGTGGCCGCCGGCACACACGTACCTGCGCAGCCGTGTTCCGCGCGCGCCCGCCAAGCGCCCTACTCAGTCGACCACATTCCCCTGTCCACATGTCGTGCCTACGCACATAGAACATGGTCCTCATGCTTGTCCTGCCCTGATGGACCTTATAACTTGACACCTGTAGCTGTACAGAGCATGCCATTGTTTGCCTGTGACAACCATTTGCTCTGTTTGTAGCTGTTGACCGTGGTGGTTGTGCCATGTCGATCACATCAATGCACAGGCCCCGAATCGAAACGGATTACACGATTACAGAGTGCCAGGTGTTCTGCTTGATGGGCAGACGTTCGACGCCGGCAAAAGTACCTCCTGTTTCACTATGCACGTCAGGACATGGTGGCTGCCTGCCAGGCAGCGCTACACAACACGAGAAAAATTTGCGCTGCTACAGTCGCTGTCAAAACCAAAAGCAGCCATTCACAGCATGGGCGGCGCCCAAACAATCGACACCAGCGCACCCGCCAAGAACAGGCCGCGCAAGCACCAACTCGTGCCAGCGCGGCCCTTGGTGCCCTGCCCAGGAATCCCTCAGGCCGCACGCCGGTGCCCGGGGCGCTCCTGCACCAAGCAGGCCTCAGACACGAAGCGGCCACTACCACCACCACTGCCGCCACGGCGCGCGCGCACCGCGGGGATCAGTGGCCATGAAGCTTACAACTGCTCAGAGTCAAGAGCCTCGAAGGCCGACGCCAGGGCAGGCGTGGCCTCCTCGGCAACCGCCTTAAGGTTCTCCTCGGGGATGGTGGTGTACTCTGCGCGCGTGCAAACAAACAGTGAAGGTGTTAAAGCAGGGCAGGGATGCAGCGGCATGCAGCATGCTCTCAACAGGAGACCCAATGGTGCACTCGATTGTCCTGGAAGCAAACACGGCTGCGAGTACAGCAAACACAGCTGGGAAACCCTGATCCAATTCCTGCAAAGGGCCCACAGCGCCCTGTCCCGACACCTTGCCGTCCCCCCAGCCCGAACGACACGCCGTCCCCGCACCCGACAGCATGGCGCGGAAGTCGTTGCCGCCAATGGTCTCCTTCTCCATGAGCACCTCCACGATCTTGTCGATCGCCTCGCGGTTCTCGCGGATCTGGGACAGCGCCACCTCGTACGCCTGCTCCGACAGCTGCTTGACCGCCTCGTCGATGCGCCGCTGCAGGTTCTCGCTCATGCTGGGGTTTTGGGGGAGGGGGGGGGGGGCGCGGCAGGCGTTGGCGGCGAGGCGCAGCTGTGACAAGCGGTTCGGCGAGGTGGGCGAGTCCAGGCGCATCCGAGTGCTCGAACAAGGGTCTGCTCCTGCTGTCTGAAGGACGCCGCTAGGAAGCTGCCGCTACCCAACAACACGAGCAGCGTGGCGCAGCGCCGCCCCAGCCAAAGGATAACGCGCGCACCTGTTGCGCGACATCATGCGCATGACGACGTCGCCGCCCTGGGCGCTGGGGTCCATCAGGCTCCAGGGCCCGATGTCGCTCATGCCGTAGTTGATGACCATCTGGCGGGCCATGCTGGTCACCTGCTGCAGGTCGCCGCTGGCGCCGGACGTCACCTGCACAGCAACAAACGCAAATGTTGTTTGGTGCGTGAGGTGGTGGTGAGATTGCAGGCCTGGTCCAGATGCTGATAGTGTGTGCAGGCCTTGCAATGGGTGCGTCGAGCCAACCGTTGGCATGCACTAAAACGCAGGCCACCCCTGCGCGCCTCGCCTGTGATGCAACAGCAAGTGCAGGCCCACCTTGCGACTCCCAGTCAACCCCACCCCTTTTCACCCCAGTCACGCCGCTGCTCTGCCCACCTCAGCCTCTCCGAAGATGACCTCCTCGGCCGCGCGGCCGCCCAGAGCACCGACAATGCGCGCAAAGATCTGGTGCTTGCTGATGAGGGTGGGGTCCTCGCCGGGCACGAACCAAGTGAGACCGCGCGCCTGGCCGCGGGGGATCAGGGTCACCTGGGGTGCAAAATAGGTTGGGCAGGGCGGAGGAGGGTTGAGGATCAGACGATTGGCAAGCAGCCATGCAGCAAACCCCCAGCTCAGGCGCTTATGCGTGAATGTGCTGCGAGCAGGCGCGCGAGGGGGCGCAGCAGGGGCGGCGCAGCAGGGCCTCACCTTCTGCACGGGGTCGTGGCCGGGCGTCAGCGTGCCGCAGATGGCGTGGCCGACCTCGTGGTAGGCCACCAGCTGCTTGGCCTTGCCGTCGGTCAGCGGCTTGCCCTCCATGCCGGCGACGATGCGGTCCACGGCGTCGTCGATCTCCTGGTTGCGGATGCCGGTCAGGCCGCGGCGGCCGGCCAGGATGGCGGCCTCGTTCAGCAGGTTGGCCAGGTCGGCACCCGCGAAGCCGGGGGTGCGCATGGCGACCTGGTGGGGCAGCAAGAGAGGTGGGCGGGGGCGTGGGCACAAGGGTCTAGATGAGGGGGCGGTCGGGGCAATGATATAGTGATTCCTTTGTGAGCAGACCGCCCGAGCCAGGGCATGCGGGTGCGAACCCTGCAGGTCCTGGCGCACTGCGCCAGCCACAGGACCCGACCCCCACAAACTCCTGACGCCTGGCGTCAAGAGGGCACCACCGTGCGCGCCATGTGCATGCGCATGCATCGGCAAGCGTGTATGCCCGCGCACCTCCTGCAGCTCCACCTCGCCGTCCAGCTTCTTGTTGCGCGCGTGCACCTTGAGGATCTCCAGGCGGCCCTTCTGGTCGGGCACGTCCACGGTCACCTGCCTGTCAAAGCGCCCGGGGCGCAGCAGGGCGGGGTCCAGGATGTCCGCGCGGTTGGTGGCGGCGATCACGATGATGCCGGTGTTGCCCTCGAAGCCGTCCATCTCGGTCAGCAGCTGGTTGAGCGTCTGCTCGCGCTCGTCGTTGCCGCCGCCGATGCCGGTGCCGCGGGAGCGGCCGACGGCGTCGATCTCGTCCACGAACACCTGGGGGTGCAGTTAACGGGCAGGGGGCGAGGTTCTCAGGCTGGGGGAGGAGTAACGCGACGGCTGGATATGCGCCTGCATTTTGCGTCCTCGCAAGCCTGCTTGCAGCGTGACCAGGCTCACAACCCTGCCGCAAGACTTGAACCCCCCTGCCGGTCTTGTGTCAATCATTGCTTGCAACCATTGCCGCGCGTGCGGGGCAGCCAAAGCACGCCGCCTCCCAGGGGCTCGGCCGCGCGCGCGCACCAGGCAGGGGGCGTTCTCCTTGGCCTTCTTGAAGAGGTCCCTCACGCGCGACGCACCCACACCCACAAACATCTCCACAAACTCGGAGCCGGAGATGGAGAAGAAGGGCACGCCGGCCTCGCCGGCGATGGCCTTGGCGAGCAGGGTCTTACCCGTGCCGGGGGGGCCGACCAGCAGGCAGCCCTTGGGGATGCGCGCGCCGACCGCGGTGAAGCGCTCGGGGCGCTTCAGGAACTCCACAATCTGGGGTTGCACCGGTGTGTGTGTGTGTGTATGTGTGTGTGTGTGTGTGTGTGTGTGTGTGTGTGCGCGCGCGTGCGCGCACGCGCTGGTGTGACAGTGGGTGCGCGTGTGGCATGAGGCGGCATACATGTACAACCGCGACGCCCAGCTGAGGGTGCCGGAAGCAAAAGTTAAAGTGCTGCGCAGGCACAGGCTTGTGGGGCTGCGAGCGGCACCACAACCCGACATGTGGGGCTGCGAGCGGCACCACAACCCGACACGCCCTGCAGGCAGCGCGGCCCTGCAAGCAGCGCAGCCCGGCAAGCAGTGATGCCCCACCCCCTGCGCTGCCCACCTCCATGAAGTCCTGCTTGGCCTCGTCCACGCCCGCCACATCGGTGAACGTGACGCCGGTGTTGGGCTCCATCTGGAAGCGCGCCTTGGACTTGCCGAACGCCATGGGGTTGTTGCCGCCGGGGCCGCCCATGCCGCCGCCGCCGGAGCGGCGGGACAGCAGGAACAGGCCACCCACCAGCAGCAGGGGGAAGGCCAGGTTGCCTGCACACGCGGCCATCCCAAAGCCAGGCGGGGCGGGTGTTAGATGGAGCGCTGAGTTGGGCCGTGACCGACATAGTGGATTAGCCCGCCACCACATTGCAGGTCAAACCCTTGGTGCGGCTGAGCACCGCCGTCCAGTGTGTTGTGCGCTGCACGACCCTGACGCTGCGGTCCGCCACCCACCCAGCAGGTTGAGGAACACGGCGCCGCCGTCCTCGGTGTTGGAGTGCGCCGCGAAGTCGATCTTCTTCTCGCGGAACTTGTTGAGCAGCTCGGCGCTGGTGCCGGGCAGCTGCACGCGCACGCGCTGCACGCGGTTGCCGAGCTCGGGGGACACGGCCTCCACGATGGCGATGGTGCCGTTCTCGTACAGGTCGACCTGGAAGCAGTGGAGGTAGAGAAGCGGGGGACGGTGGGCGGCGGGTGTGTTGGCCGGTGGTGCCGAGGGGCAGGCGCGGCGCCGGCCATGCACGGTGCCGCGCCAGCTGCCAGACGAGGCTCAATAGTGTAGCTGTGGAGGACATGGGCCTAGTGGACAAACAGACTGTTGGCTTCAGAGGAGTGCTGGCTCAGGGGGCCCGTCATCCTCGGGGTGGTGGGCGTCTGGGCGTGCCCCACCAACCACCAGTTGCCCGCCACGTCAGCAACACACCACATGCCACGAAAAAATCGGCGGAACACGACATCAGCTGCAGGTGCGCTCTGCTGCTGCTTGCTGGCGTGGTGTGACCACTGGGCCGCAGCACGCAGCCAAACCGCATACCAAACCATATGCATGCAACACACGTGTGTGGCAAGAGCCCTGGAGTGCCTCCGCTCCACAACCAGTGGCCAACGCCACAGCTCGGCCGCGGCACCACAATCCTGTGACACCATGGGCCACATGCCCGGCCGTCAGGGCGTGGCGCGCACCTTCTTCACGCGGCCCATGTCCAGGTACTCCAGGAACCGCGAGTAAGACATGCGCGACGACGCAACACCAGCAGCATCGTCCGCAGCGCGCGCCGCAGCCGCGGGCACCAGGGCGGCAGCGGCAGTCAGCACGCTGCGATAAGCAGAGAAAAAACCAGCAGCGCGTGTGTGGGCGTCTGTTGAGAGGGGTTCCGCGACGAGTGAGCTCATCAGAGTGAGATCACCACCCCAGCCACAGCCCCGTCTATGACCACGAGATGGGCTCCGTGACCACGCCCCGACGTCCCCAAGAAAGCTACCTGGTAAGGAACTGGCGGCGCTCGCCATCGGGCTTCACGTCCTGCACATCAAGAGCGGAGGGTGGAGCAGAGTCAGAGGCCGTGCGCTTCTTGCCTTGCGAGCGCGGCACACGGATCCATGATCACACCGCCTTCTAAAATCTTACCTGCTGCTGCTGAGCGCGGACCACCACGCTGCGGGGGCGAGCCAGGCCTGTGGTGGCAAAGAGGGTGAAGTGCAGTGATGGCTCTCAGCTGCTGCACCACGGGCCTCGGGCGCTCGGAGCGGGCGCGTATGACGATAATGCCCTTACCAACGGGAATAGGCCTTGCGGAAAGCCTGGCCGGGGCCACGGCGCGCTGCTGGAGGGCCTGCATTGCTGCCCTGTGTGAGCCTCTGTTGTGCAGTGGTGGATGTGGCAGCTGGTTTGTGTGTGGAACAGCCTTAACAATCAGGCCAAGCACCAAGGTGAAAGTACCTTATGTGCACGCTTGAAAGGGAGTTAGTCCGGGAGCGAGTCTGTGGTGTCCTGCCCGCTGCTCTCCACCACCTGCTGTCCACCGTCATCATGCCGCACGTGCCTTCCAGGATCGCATTGAACAATACAAAAGGTACCAGTGGACATATTGCTGCTTTCCGAGGTGATCCGTCTCAGCAACCCAACCAGGACGACGCCACGGCAAGGGCTCAGCAAGCGAGGGAGCGCCAGCAGCTCCTTGGGGGCGCGACCTTATCTAGGAATCCCTAAGGTGAACTGGGCAGGGCCCAGGGTATCACTGTGAGGGCGGCCCTGCTGCGCGAGTTTGGTGTTCTGCTTTTTGTGGCATCATGCAGACTGGGCCGCGGGAGTTGCCGTCCAATTATTAAGCGATTGCAGGCATCGCCCTTGGACCCTGCTGTCAAGCCTGGCGCAGCGAGCGCGGGGCTGCGGCGGTCGCTGGCACCCGCAAACAAGCACGCACACATGCGGCACGGGGCTGACAGCTCACCCGTGCTGATGCGCGCATATGCAGGCAGCTAAAAGGCCAGTGTCATTGACGCCGGGCCTTCTCACGGGACGTGCGTGCCACGTCGCGCGAGCACAAGCATTGGAGGGGGGCCAGCTACAGCTGCCACCTGCCAGCTGCAGCTTTGACGCCAGCCGGTCCCTGCGGGCGCAGCAGCGGGGCCCGAGCGCGCACGCAAGCGGGAGCGAGCGCAGCCAGCGGCGCACGGGGGGCGGCGGCAGCGCGGCGGGCTGCGTGCGCGCAGCGGCCATGGCGCGCGCCGGCTCTGAGGAGGTGATGGTGGTGCGGCCGACGAAGGCGGACTTCAGCCGCCCCTTTGCCGAGTTTGTCGGGAAGGTGCTGAAAAAGCATCCGGACCTGCCCATGTTCAAGGTCATCCCACCTGAGGGCTGGCGGCCACGCAGGTGGGGGCTCGGTGTGCGGGGCGGCTCTGTCGTGTACGCGTGTGCGGCGCGCGCGCTGGCGGTTGGGGGGCCGGGCGGGGACGGCGACGCCGGGCGCGCGACGCGGCGCGCTCGCCCAGGGCGCAGCGGGCGTGCGCAGAGCCATGACGGCAACGGCAGTGCGGCGCTGTGCGCGCGCTTACATAGTGGCATCCATGCCGTTATGAGACCCATGCAGCAGGGGTGGCCAGCAGCAGATGTGCAGCGAGCCGCTAAATCAGCGGCTCGCCAGTGTTGCGGGCGGCGCACCTGGTGCGATGTCGTGATAGTGGTCGCAGCCGTGTTGACGGAGACGGCGGCCACGATCATGCGGCCGCGTCAGCATGCACTGTAGCGCATTTGCACGGATGCCGGCACCATCATCTCATGACCAGCCGGGCGGCCGGCCGCGCCGGCCCAGGCCCAATGCTGGCAGAGGCGGCGCGGCAGGCCGCGCAGAGCGATTCGCATCCCTGCACTGGGCCGCAGCCTGCAGCGCAGCCGCGGCGCCGCTGCCCTTGCCACGCGCAAGCCGGCGCTCGCGCATAATTAGCGGCAACGCCGCCGCGCCAGAGCTGGGCAGGCCCCTCTGCAGCGCCCCGGCACGACGGCCCGCTCCCCGCTCCCGGCCCCACCCCACAGGAAGCCGTTTCCCAAGCTGGAGACCGTCGACATTGCGACGCCTATCAAGCAGATCGTGTATGGGAAGGGCGGCGCCTACCGCTGCATCCTCGTCGAGCAGAGGGGCCTCACCGCGCAGCGTGAGCGACAGGGGGCGCAGCGGGGCGGGCCGCAGCGCCCGGCTTTCTGATTCGGCGCGGCAGAGCGGTCAAATCTGAATGCCTGCAGGCGTCTTGGATCCTGCCGCCGTCGGGATGCTGTTGCGTAAAGCGGACGCGGGACCTTTCGCGCCCTTGCGGCTTCTCGCAGGGTTCAAGGAGATCAGCGAGAGCGAGGGCCACACCCCTCCTGAGAGCAAGAGGGGCAAGGACCTGGAGGATACCCTGCTGGAGAGGAGCTTCTGGAGCAGGTGGGTGTGTTAATATGTGAGAGTGTGTGTGTGTGTGAGTGCTGTGCTGTGCTGTGCTGTGTTGCGCTGTGTTGTGCTTTGTTGTGTGTGTATGTGACTGTGTGTGTGTGCGTGTGCGTGTGTGTGTGTGTGTGTTGGCACTTGCGTGCGTGCGTTCGCACTTAAGGGCAGGCGTGTGCTCGGAAAGGGCATGAGGGTGTCGTCAGGGCCTCGTTGGGCCGGCAGTGGTGGGCGTGTGGGATGCCGAGGGGGATTGGCCGAGGCAGAGTGAGTGGGTGCAGCTCAGACGCTATGGCCCGCACGCGCCTCGTCAAGGCTGACTCAGCGCTCATGGAAGGGGGCTCGGGCGGCAACAAGGTGTGTTGACCTTGTGGAACGCATCCGGCGAGCGCGCCCTCAGCGCCCGCCCGCATTACATGGCACCCCACGCCCGCCGCCGCCCCCCCGCCCACCGCCTCCTGCC